CATGTCAAGTTGAAAAAATGCTTTAGAAATAAATTCCTGTCACAGTATGACTCTAAATTCCAAAACGCATCAACATGCAGCCACGCCAATAAAAAAGCGCGAATTTTATTCTGAAATCATGCTGACTGTGACATTAAAAGCAGGTGTAAGAGAAACGATTCTCATTGCTTCACTAACGATTGTGAAACGAGGACAGAGATGCAGAGGTTAACACCTGTCGAAAAAGAACGTGCACTAGGCATGATTCAGGTTGGCACCAGCAGCAGGGATATTGCTCCACAACTTGGACTTGGCCACTCAACCGTCGTTAGGCTTCATAGACGACATCAGCAGACAGGCAGCAGCCGTGACCTTCCACGACCTTGGCAACAACGTGTCACGACGCCCCGTCAGGATCGCCATATTGACCTTAACCATATCCGTGATCGAACACTGCCGACTGCCAGGACTGGTGCACCAGTTCAACGTCGACGTGGGGTCATCAGTGCTGACACCATGCGACGCCGTCTACACGCTACAGGGCTCCATGCTCAACGTCCTTACTTAGGACCAATTCTGACTGACAGACACCGTAATGAGCGTATACAATGGGCTAACAGGCGTGGTCAGTAAAGGTTACAACAATGGCATGGTGTGGTAGTCACAGGCGGGTCACGTCTTCATCTACGTAATGCTGACGGCCGATTACGTGTTTGGCGTAGACGTGGTGAACGTTATGCTGATGAGTGTGTGGTTCAGACAGACCGTTGGAGTGGTGGGAGTTTCATAGTCTGGGGTGAAATAAGTTACAATCACAGGACTGCCTTCATGTGTGTCAAGGGAGAGTTAATGCCCTTTACTACCGTGACCAGATTCTTCAGAATTACGTCGTATCATTCTTCAGTCACCACCAAGATGTCCATACTTTCCAACAGGACAACGCACGGACACACACAGCTAGACTCTCCATGCAGTATCTGACCCAGCAACACATCCAGGTAATTCATTGGTCAGCACTGTCACCAGATGTATCCCCAGTGAGCACTTGTGGGACGAAATTGGTCAAAGTCTTTCGCGGCAACAAAAGATGCGAGACATCCGGGAACTTGAGGCTGCACAAATGCAGAAGTGGAATGCCATCCTCCAGAACTCTATTCGGACGCTTATTGACTCAATAAGGAGACGTTGCACTGCATGTGTCAATGCAAATGGCGGTCACACGCGATACTGACTTTTCGATTTGACCCCACGTGTGTTTGATCCTTTCTGACTGTGGAACAATTAAATGAATGAGCGTCCTTTCTTTGTGTTGTTGTTTTTGTTAGTCGTCAGTCTGTTATTATCCACTCAAAAATTATCCATTCCTTTCACGTGCTTTTAGTAATCTGAACTTTTATAAGTGGTGCGTTTTCAATGTTGGTGAGTATATTTGCTGAGGCCAACAGGAAGGTTTGTGTCAATTTAATGGATATACATTTGAGTATCGTCTCTAAAAATGATATTAATATATTCTGTCAGCTTAGTGAAAATGAATGGCATCCCTGCACGCATTTATTGCCTCCATATACGCGCAATGTGTTGGGAATTCAACGCAGAAAATATTGCCATATATTTGCATATGGATGGCCAAGTTAATATATATGATTGCGAAGCCTCATATTATGTGTACATGCATGTATTATTACCTTTCCAAATTAATTTTGAAATTGGAGCAGGAGAATTAAGAATTTGATAACAAATATAAAATTGTATGGTATGTTTGGTAATGTAAATGTCCGTGTGTAGAATTAAATTGATTAACTTTTATTCAAAGATGTATTTTTGTGGTGAAACTGACCACACTTTAAATGAAGTTTGTATACTGTATGTAAGTAAAATTTGGTATATTGTACCTCCGTAAAATAGAACAAAATCACTATGTAAATATCTCCAAGAAAGAATATCGGTGACGCGTAAAAACGGGAAAAAATCCTTTATGTATTAGAAATAATAACAGCTATTAGCATGATAACACCTGTAAAACTCTCGATCTGGAAGTCATTAGAGTAAAACAAATGGATTTTTTTAACATATGGATATGACTCACCACTACAGAGCAGAGCAGAACTTTTATTACACTCAGGCCAGTATACTCGGCATACCAGGTACAGATATACAGTGAAGTGTAAATAGGATGGCGGGATGGTTTACATGGAAGATTATACAATTTTCATGATGGTATTACCAAATATGCACTGTTTTTTTAAAACACTTATAATTATGTTTACAGTTGAACAATTCGTTAAGTTTTAACACATTGGGATTTTTAACATGGTGTGGGATACATGTTTTCCGAAAATGTTTGAAGAAAGGGCACAGAAAGGTTAATGAAATTCATCGCCAACATCACACGTGTCGCAGAGGTTACACATTCTTTCTCCAAGTGGAATTATTGTTTGCCACCCACCTACTTCTATAGGTAAACGATGGCAAGATGTTGCAACACACATATAATAATAACAATGAATAATAATTATATAGTATATTACAGTGTCATGTGTTACAAGGTATAAAACATTTAGTACATATATAAAATACAAACAGCAGACCTCAGAAGGCCGAAATGACACCATGTTACAAATATAATATGCGATAATAGGCAAAATGATCGCTCCCATTACATGTACAGATACACTCAAATGTTCATTCATATATGCCAGAACACTACATACCATACACATATACACAGTTTAGTTCTCATACCTACAGTGGAACACACACACACACACACACACGCACAAACACATGCATACATCCATCCATGCACACACATACATACATACATACATACATACATACATACATACACACACACATACACGCACGCACGCATGCATGCATGCATACATACATACATACATACATACATGCATACATACATACACGTACATACATACATACATACATACATACACACAAACATACATACATGCATACATACATACATACATACATACATACATACATACATACATACATACATACATACATACATACATACATACACACATACATACATACATACATACATACATACATACATACATACACACACATACATACATACATACATACATACATACATACATACATGCATACATACATACATACATACATACATACATACATACATACATGCATGCATACATACATGCACGCACATACATACACACATACACACACATACATACATACATACATACATACATACATACATACACACATACATACATACATACATACATACATACATACACACACATACATACATACATACATACACACATACATACATACATACACACATACATACACACACACACACACACACACACACACACACACACACACACACACACACATACATACATACATACATACATACATACATACATACATACATACATACATACATACATACATACATACATACATACATACATACATAGAGGGGGCGGTGGGGTAACCTATTGGATAAAGCGCTCGTGCGTCACGCCGAAGAACCGGGTTCGATTCCCCACACGGGTATAATTTGTGAAGCCCATTTCTGGTTTCCTCCGCCGTGATATTGATGGAATATTTTTAAAACAGCGTAAAACCTTACTCACTCGCTCGCTCGCTCACACTCACTACACACACTATGTACATCCTCTCCTTTCATACACGCACACACACACACCAATAGGCTTATATATTTGGGGTTTTCCGGGCACCATTGCTTTAGCTATACTTACTGAGGCGTGATAATCCCTTGAACAATAGGGGATTAGCTTACGGTCTTTAGCATGTCATTATCACCTGTGACGGAAACCGATATATAAGCATTATATATAGGGCTCTAGTCGACAATGCTCGGCTGAATCCAACATATACGACATGGGTTACTCTCATTAGAGATTTGTTGTTTCATTATGGATATGGTTTTATCTGGTTACAACAGAAATTGACTCTAAATTGTACAGTATTTATCAGTGCTTTTAGACAAAGGGTTATTGATATACATTCTCAAATGTGGACATATAATCTAAGTTCACTTAGTGAAACAAGAACATATTTGCTTATCAAATCATCACTTACCATGGAAAAGTATTTATCTCAAATTGATATTATAAACTATAGGGTAGCCTTGACACGACTACGATTATCTTCTCATTCACTTATGATTGAGAAAGGAAGATGGGCTCGACCAAAACTAGCTTTAGAAAACCGATTATGTCCTTTTTGCAAAAATGACATTGAGGATGAATCTCATGTTATCATGGTTTGTCCTAAGTACTTGACATTTAGACGTCGCTACCTACCTCTGGACGTATACAAGTCTCCAAACATGATGAAGTTTACAAACTAAAGTTGAAGTATTAACCTTCAACTTAGCCAAATTTGTTTATCATATATTTCAGGTAAAGCAAAACTATAATCTGAATTATCCATGAATGTTTATTTCCTTCCTAGTGCTATCTTCTGTCACGAAAGGTCTTTGCAAGTGGGTTGGGGGGTGGGGGAGGGGAGGCAAATGTTGGCAGTGCGCTTTTGAAAGTATGTATGATGTATTTGTCATGTTGGCCGTTGGCCTATTAAAGAAATAAACAATAAACATGAAACCAGTAAGGAAGCAGACATCTTTATGGACAACAACTTCTTGTTTATAGAGTTGTAGCCATAAAGCTGTATGGTTCATTACTGATTCATCAACTTCTAGTATGTGGATCATGTGGATCAGAGAGAGAAAGAGAGAGAGAGAGAGAGAGAGGTGGGGAAGACTGACTTACGTTTGCTGTGACCTACGCAACATGAACATACATAAAATCAATATCAACTGAGATTTCGACTTGCTATAAGTGTGAATAACCTTTCACCATCGCTTCTTTCTGTGAAAGGTACTCAGTGATAAACACAAGTACGATGCGTTTTCTCCGTTCGGCTAAGTCTATTTATAGATGACCTCATCATTAATATGCAAATGTCAGAGGTCATAGTGGCTGAGCACATGTGCACAGAGTCGGAGCAAGTTCACTGCCGTGTTTATGTTTCTGTCAACCAGACGGTTGTAATTTGTGCTATAACAAATGTGCGTCACACAACGATGATGACACTTGCATGGATGGGTAGAGCAACAGCCATTAATGGAAGCCTGTGAAAGCTGGGTTAATCAGGTTGAAGCGAAACTCGTCTGTCAGAGTCACTCCGAATGTCACGAGGAAATCCACGTTATTTTGAAGAGATAATGTCTTGACACCTCGACTATTTTTAAGTCGGAGATAAAATATTGCCGGTATAAAACCTACTAAGTACGAGGGAGCGAGCTCGACCTACAGCGGGGCACAGATTGGACTTTGACCAGGCATCTATTTACAAGCCAGGACGCGATCTCGACATGTTTATGTAACATCATCTCATCACCCGACTGTAAATACTGACGTTGTACAATACTGACGCCACGAATACTACCAACTCAACCCCGCAGGTGAGTATATAAATTAATTGTCGCCGTTTATTGCTTCATTGATGATTATTAGTCGTTTCAGTGTTGAATATTTTCCGGATATGGAACTCTTCAGTTTAGAGTCGAGAAGTGGAGTATTGATTTAACCTGGCGTGACCTTCCATAGCAGACGACACGTTTCACATTCATCTCCAGCCGTCCCAGATCGTTCTCCCGATTTCTCCATTTGTGGAAAGCTTTTTCCGTTGAATAGATTTAATTTTGTTTGATCAAACATTTACTGTCGAACCGACATAGAATCTTTTAAAACGTATGCTTGGATTGCAGTGTTGTAAACAAGTGCTCAACTCAAGCCGTGACTCGGCTGTTTGAAATAGGAAGAGAGGTATAGCAGTATATGTAGTGCTTAGGCAAATCGTTTTCACTAACAGTGTAACTTTTAATTTAATCGTAAATGAGCAAGTCTTGGTTATTTACGTTAATTCAGTATACCTTCACTTACATGGAGAGAGAGAGAGAGAGAGAGAGAGAGAGAGAGAGAGAGAGAGAGAGAGAGAGAGAGAGAGAGAGAGAGAGAGAGAGAGAGAGAGAGAGAGAGAGAGAGAGAGAGAGAGAGAGAGAGAGAGAGATTGGAGATATTACATAACATGATTATTTCCATACACATCATACCTACAATAATCTCGGGATTATCAAGACGACATAATCGAGTATGCTCCAGGATAGGCCAGAGCAATATAATCGGAACCGTACTATTGACTATATATTTTGACTATTTATACGTGACAAACGTTTAAAGAATAGACGTACAATGACTCGCTTTCATCGTGGCTCCAGTAAAACCACCCAGCCAGCTATTTGTTAACCGTGATGACACAGGTATTGGGATATATCCCTTTAGAGATGCGTACAGTGTACAATATCACGTTGACTGTTTGTACACGTACACACTTGTAGCAATTACCACAATAAATTACATTCACTACGCACACTGAACATTGACAACTGAAACCAATAGTTATAAAATGAGCCATGTTATTTTACACGTCAATTAACTTGTCGAATGAGTGCACATCATCCCGTCGTTATATTGCTGGAATATTGATAAAAGCGGTGTATAAAAGTAAAGCATACACACAAATCACATAGACAGACCACATAGACAGAAAAAGGTTCCTGAATGATGCTGGGTTTATGAGCATACAACGAATTCGGGACACAGAAAGTCACACCACATGTTGTCTCTTCCTTTGAAACTTAAACAGTTAAAATTTGGAATGGAGACGATTCTGCAGAAGATACTATGAATACACACTGTCGATTTAGACAGTGGTCAGATGTAACACATGTTTTATTTGGAATTACACTTTCTCAGCAAAGTACAGATTGTTAGTAATTTTGTTGGGTTGAGCCCGGGATTCGAACCCACACATCAGGGTCAGGCACCTAATCGCCAGCACGTGGAAGCCGCGGTGGCTGAGCGGGCTAGGCGGCTGACCTTGCGTGCTTGCAATCAGGTGCCAGATTCTGAGGGTGTGGGTTCGAATTTCGGATTGGACTCAAACCAACAAAAGTACTAGAATCTGTACTTAACTGAAAATGTGTAATCCCAAATATAACACATGTTAGAAAAGAATAAGACACGGTTAGTGAAACATGCGATACAGTGCATGCGTGTTTGTGTGTGTGTGTGTGTGCGTGAGCGCGTGCGCGTGCGCGTGGTAGACTCCTCATTTTAAACACGTTCTATATTCATAGATATGTATGTAAGTTTGTATTTAATGCATATATACATCTCAGTCTGTGCTCACATTCTCACCACTTAGGATGGTACGATCCCCACATCTGTAACATACGCAATAATTATTACAATTTGTATAGTTATTGTCGTAACCGGGATTTGGGTGTTTGTAAACCCTACTACCAGTTACCTATAAAGATGGCCGTTCCGCATTGTCACGGGTGATATAAGCTCAGGTTACATACTCGCTTGGTCCGTCCGGGGCTTCTACGTCTAGAGTGAGAGGTCTGACGACCGAGACTCCTATCTACAACATTACATTCATGTACTGGCACTTTGGCATTACAAGGAATAACTCAACACTAGGTTCTATACTCGTATAGGTTTACTCGATCCCGCTCTTCATTACAAGGTGATCAGGACAGGATAGGGCACGCTCTTCACCAGATATGGAACTGATCGATCGCGATGCGAACGTTCTGCTGACTTTGTAACCCGCACCACTCTCTAGTGCAAACCCATCTTTTTTAAGGTGTTCGAGCCTTCTCCACCCTTGTCACATGACCAGATACAATCCATCTGATTTGTTTAAAGTTAAGTCTTTCCATGGTCTCATGTCGTACCTCGTTATCAGAGAATTACTGTAAACTCATCGGTGACTCACCGTTAATTGCTACTTTTAAGAGTCTTTTCTGTTCTGTTACTGAGTTATCCTGTTCTCTATTCCTTAGTTTTTTTCGCCTTATAACATTATGTTCCGAAACATTTCCGTAGAGCTTTTATGGTTCTTTATTGTTTATACCCGCAATTAGCAATATTCGAGCTTTTAGACTCCGGACTCCGGCCTTTAACTAATCGATTTTAAGCAAGAAAACCTAATGGTTGATAGCATGACCATCGGTTAACGTACTTATGATATCATCGTGTATAATGAACTAAATTACCGTTCGTTTTATTTAGTTACCTCTTGCGACAATGCGACAAGATTGTCTGGTCCAGACCGCCGCCATACAGCTGGAATATTTCTTAGTGCTGATTTAAACTAAGCCCTCTTACTCACTCACTCTTGCGACCAAAGTAGGTTGCAGTCAACCAAACGTCATTCACGGCATCCCCAAGAGGAAACGTTATCTTAGAACGTTATCTTAGACCTTATGATCGTACCGCTCTTGCTCAGTAATTGTTCGATCAAGGCTACTACATTCAAGGCCATTAGTGACGAAGTGATGTCCGATGCAATTCCCTATTTTGACTTATACCATACATTTCCGAATTATTTCAGGTGAACAAATTAGTAAACCTTATGACGGGTGCCACAGGTGCGGCAGGATACGCTCACCTTTTAGCGAACACCTGGTATCATCACTATTTCATAGTGATTCACAAACACATGCTCTGTCTTCGTATCGCATGGTGACAATCACTGGATTGTCTGGTCTAGACTCGATTTGTTTACGAACAACATCGTACAGCTTTAATACTGCTGAGACAAATATATATTGTCACAACAGTACAATCGAAGCTACGTTTAGCAGAGATTTCTGATGGCTGTTTTGCCTCTTCTATCTGTCATGTAATGTTTGGTATAGCACAAGGGACACAGGGGCCCTTTCTTCATAAATCATACTGATTCCCTTATCATTCGTAAAGTTTATATGTATTGGCTATGTGCTGTGTGGATTATACATACGTAAAGATAAAAAGTCAGGATTTCAATTAGGCATTAGGCATATTTTGGGAGATTTGTTTGTCACTGAAGTCTGAACAGACAGGTTACTCTGCGCTATATTAAAACAGTTTTTGACATATATTTATGGCATGCTCAGAATGATCCAGCTTAATATATGGCTGTCAGGTTGAAATAGTAATTTACAGTCACTGCGTAGCCAATTATCTGCATGTACATGATTAAACTGGATGTAACACAATGACAATAAGGGACGGTTGGGTAGCCTAGTGGTTAAAGCGTTCGCTCCTCACACCGAAGGCCCGGGTTCGATTCCCCACATGGGTACAATGTGTGAAGCCCATTTCTGGTGTCCCCCGCCGGGATATTGCTGGCATATTGCTAAAAACGGCATAAAACCATACTCAGTCAGACAATGACAATAAAACGTTATTCATTCAACGTTGTAATAGGTTACGACACATTGTATAGCTTTTAAAAAGGACTTTGCACTGTGACGCGGACCCAGTTTCCAGACTGTATGTAAACATTGTCATTAATAACTTAGGTTAAGTTGAACCTCTGACGGAGTAGCTCAGGTAATTCACTACAGCTATATTGTAAACCTAGGCGACACATAATGGTACTTGAACGACCCTGATCAAAATTTGAGGGCACAATTTGATCCGAGCTAGTTCCACAGCTGTCGCTGCCAACAGGCCCACATACTTGTAACGGTGAACGAGTACTGTTTGCCCCCAGCTTGGCCTTTTTAGCAAGCACCGTGTTTTTTTTGTTAACATGCGTAAATGTCTGGATTGTTTTGGAAACTAAAACGAGAACATGCATAGTTAGCTAAAAACTATGTGTTTTTTTCAGTTGAGCGAAGCATTAACCATACAGGGTTACTACATAATATAAAGCAGTTACTAAATCGACCCACAAATAAATGAATTATGAGATGCATGCTTGGTTTATAACAACCGAAGCATGGTCAAAGCACATTTTGTTATTTTTTCACTGTTTGTTTGGGCTTTTCAGAGGGGTATCAATGTTGTCCACATGCACTAGGGGGGTCGTCATTGATTTTGTACATGGCATGCAGGGGGGGGGCACTTATTTTGTACACGAAGTTTAGGGGGTTCATTCACATTGCTTCTCCATAAAAATCTTCATCAACGCCTATGAACGGTCCCTTATACACTATTTGTAACATAAAACAGGTTCACTCTTCCAGTACTACATTCTGTATAATGAACATATTACATTATCAGCTTAAAGCATACAGTCTCACACTACTTCAACTGTAATAACTTATGTGTCTCGCTCTTACAGTTTTGTGTTTTGCAAAAGAATGTTTTTATCGTCACAAGAGTAGGCAGAGCAGCATAAGGGAACATCTGTTATGGCATAACAAATTTGAGTTTGTGAAGATGCTTCTACCTTAAGCTTGCATCCTTGGGTCAGTGATTTGTGATTGTTTTATTCCTGCCTGTCCCCTGTCTGTGGGGTCTGTGGTCAACGAGGTAGCTCTTGCCAATCATCAGAGTGATTCGACATGAACAAAATCACACCATGGGTTCAGTATTTGATGACAATGACTTGTGTATCTCC